CTCCTTCCGAAAAAAACGTCTTCGTGATCAGCAAACAAAACCCCAATGCTGTGCCCCCCTTCTTCCCTCTCACCTCCCGCCTCCTCGAGGGGTTTCCCCCCCGGCGGCCCCGTGGATGGGCGTCTGCGCCCCGTGCATGGGGGTCTGCGACCCGTGGAGAGGCGTCTGCCCTCCCGCCCCCAGCGGGGTCTGGTTCCCCACCCCGCCGCCGCTGCCGCCCATGGGAGTCTGGGACCCGTGAATCGGGGTCTGGGACCCGTGGATGGGGGTCTGGGAACCGTGGACTGGGGTCTGAGAGCCGTGCATTGGGGTCTGCGAGCCGTGCATTGGGGTCTGAGAGCCGTGCATTGGGGTCTGGGACCCGTGCATTGGGGTTTGGGACCCGTGCATTGGGGTCTGGGACCCGTGCATGGGAGTCTGTGTTGTTGTGTAATCACGCGGCGACGGTAGGAGCAGCAACCGCAATAATAGCAGCAGCAGCAACCACCACCACCAGCCGCAGGATCAGCCGCAGCGCCAGCAGGTGCGGGAGCAACGAGAACAACAGTAACAGCAGCCGGACGAGAGGAAACGGAGGGACGGGGTAGAGAGAGAGGGAGAGCGGGGGGAAAGGGAGAGCGAATGGAGTCGGACGTTAGGAAGAGACAAGAACAAAGTACACCACGAATGAAGTAAAAACCAAACCAATGCGTTGTTTTCCTGTTGGCCCTCTCGCTGTATCACTTGGTTGGTGATCGTTTGACCATCTGCTGCACTCATCACTCCATGCCGTCATTAAGGACAACCGGCCACCGCAGCAGCCATGAACTGCACGCGCCACTCAAGAATAGTCCATGCATCGGAGCAACAATCGAGACGTGCTCGCAGCCATTCGGTGGCCACTGCAACTGACATCAGGAAAGCCATGTCAGCTAAAAATGTTAACATTTCTCTCTGCCGAATCGAGCCAGAGGGCCGCCAATCGCACGCCCAGAGACGGAGCAAATGCACAACAACGCACCACCGAACCTTCCGCCTCTCCCTCCCTAACGGCTACGCCTATCCCAACCATATCACGAAGCCAAATACGAGCCTCAGTTCGCCGAAAAGCAAAAAAGAAAGCCCGTTATGTCGAACGGGTACTGTAGTGATTCCGTATTTTCAATGTCCATTTCCTAAAAAAAAAAAACGCAACAAAGGTAGAATTTGCGGACAGACCTGCATGGTGTAGGGCGTCCCGGGTACCTCTCCGATGACAGGCTTCTGGAACTGGTTCCCCGCGTACGCGCCCGTCTGGTCGCCCACAATTTTAACCTGTAACGAGTTCCCGCGCAATAATGCGTTGCACAGGTAGATGCGTGACTATTTTGGTTCCCCAGATAGCAGGTTCATGTTGATTCAACAACAAAAGCACGGCATGTGCAGATAAAGGAAGCGAAGCGACAGGGCTGTCACAAACCTCCACCTGTCGCCCCAGCAAAAACAGTTTCTAACACGACTCTCTCTCCGTCTCTGTCCGTCTCCCTGTCTCTCTGCCTCTCCGTCTCCGTCTCTGTCTCTGTCGCTTTCCCCCTTGATGTCGTTGCTGAAAAATAGCATCGATCGCAGCACCAACCGGCTTCCCAACGAACAAAAAGAGTTTAAGTCTCTTAAGAGTCATTCTAGACCACGGGGTCCCCCGAAAACATGGACGGGGGGGGGGGGGGGGGGGGGGGGGGGGGGGGGGGGGGGGGGGGGGGGGGGGGGCTCGGACTGGAGAAGCCTTCATAACTTTTGTTTATCGTAAGAAAAAAATAACATTTGTTTTTCCCGAAGCAAGAAATAAGTAACAGACCTGGTTCCTGGAGATGGTGACCTTCTTGAGCTTGGAGTGCAGCTCCACCTTCACGTGTGTGTCGGTAGCTTCCACGACCTGACCCATCAGACCCTTGTGCTGCCCTCTGATCACCTTCATCGATCACGAAAGGGAATGAACAACAACGATAGCGACACAATCAAAACATTTCTTCGTAATGTGGGATAAATCCATTCCAACACCATAGTAACACGTGAGTCACAGCCAAAATTCATTCCGGCGACGAGAATCAACATGATACAAGAGCGCGACCAAAAAAAGCGAGACACACGGAAAATAGAGAAACAGGCCAAAAGAGCCCCTAACTCGAAACACAAGCTGCGAGCCTCCTTGACAGGCCTCAACCTCCTACACCCAGGGCGAAGGAACACCCAAAATCACTCCCTGCCTCGAGATTTGGGTTGGACTGCTGTTCCACGCAACGGCAGATAGGTAGGTAGGTAGGTCGACAGCGAGACAATACATAGATACAGATACCGCCGCCATTAAGAACCCTCGTCTTCTAGTTTAGGCCGCGGTTGGGGTTCATAATTCCTCTTGCGGGGCGACAAATTGCCGCTGTATAGGTGGGGTATTATTTACCCCAGCCGCATTTCAGTACAGCAGTGGGCCCTGCCTGTACAGTGCCGGCGGCATAGTGCCGGAGTTTTCGACTGGCACACACTGAAATACCAAGCCGTTCCCGGTGTCAGGTAAAGTGCCCGGAAAAATCTCGGGACACACAACATGTACAGGCTGTACATGGCCCACTACTTTTAGTGCTCATGTTTGACATGTTGTTGAGCATGAACTTCTTCAACTGCAAAGCTTGCAAGTGGGGGGCGCTAGTGCGAATGCATAGGAATGTACCTTGACAGTCTTGGCGAGCATCTCATCGTTCCGGTTCCTGAAGTCCTTCACGATGTCGTTCTTCGCTGACGCGTTGATCTCGCCCATGTATCCCACCGCCGCCTGTTGGTAACAGTTGTAAAAAAAAAAAAACTGAAGAGATGGATTTTTCGTCCGCCAATCAACCAACTTATCCATCAGTAGTGCAATATTTGCGGGGCAGCAGCAGCAGCAGCAGCAGCAGCAGCAGCGACTACAAAATAAACACGACCACAACAAACAATGACGTCGCATACAGACGGCCATCCAAAACCAAAATAGCCCGTGTACATTACCGACGATAACCACTCAGCAGACTGACGCAAGTCGCACAAGATACCACGCACCCTCGGACCGACTTCAAAAGCTCGAACACCCCAGATGCCAAGAAAAAAAAACAAGACATTCTTCCAAAGCTCTCGGCGGGAGGGTTCCAACGCGGCCATACTTTCGGCACCGTAACTGTTTTTGCTGCAGAGTTTTCGGGTTGTGAAGTTCGGTCCAGGGCGTGCGGTATCCTACGCGCATGCACACACCTGGCCCGGGTTCATCCTCCCCGCGACTACGTACAGCATGCATACACACGACCAACGCAAAACCAAAGCCCCGTGCACATGCATCTACGCTACCACACAGCACTAGACACAAAAAAAAACGCATACGCAAAATACCGCCGACAAAAAAATCAAGAGCCCGGTGCACACATATCGACGCCACTGCTGTATCACGTGATGAAAGACTTCGTGCCCCTCCCTGGTCACCACACGAAATTTCCATCATTTCTGTCACAAGATTCATCTACAGACCCTTGCTGTAGCCACACACTAGACGGGACCAACACACCTGCCCCCTGTTCATCCTCCCCGCGAGTAGCGCGCTCCTAGCCCGGACCGGGAAGATGCCGGCGTTCTGCGTGTGCGTCCTGGAGTGGAGGAAGAGGGTGGTGCGGTCGATGTGCTTGATGGTGCCCTTGGACCCGGCGTGCTGGCCTTCTACCACCTCCACCACGTTGTCCACCTTGGATAAAAAAAAAAAGAAGAACGCATGGGGTGGGTGCGTGAGTATCTTTGCTACAGTATTGGCACCATCGACCGCGCTACTCCGCTGACAGAATGAAACGATTGTACACAAAACACAACAACGTGTATATCCCCCGTCGCACGTTCCACTCAACGATTTCTGCCATCACACGATAACATGTATTTTGTACCATTTTGTCTTGTTTTCGTGCTTCCGGGCATCTTTCGCCGGCGGAAGCGAGTCTTCTGTCACGCTTCCTTCTCGGGGGCAGGGAGAACGCAGCACGCAGGGGCACCGTCGTTACAATACCGCGCACGCCCGAGGACCGCCAGCCACCCGTGGCGCGTGTGTGCTTGACGCCCACAGTTGCAAAAACTAGCTCAATTTCCACGGGGACGTGTTGCGCGCGCGAAGCAAGCTTTTGCCCAGAAATCATGTTAGTATTCCTGTTTACCCCAGAAATGCCAAGAACTGTGGAATAAACAGGAATACTATTCATTTCTGGGCCACGCCCACACGTCCCACAGACAATGGGCAAAACGAATCCATCAGAGTGAGCGATCAAAAGCAGCGAATTACAGCAGTAGGACCTGCAGCAACGACGCCACAAGCCTAAAATAAAAGCACACACTCCCGTACCGCGAAAAGTCACGACTAGTCTATACCTCTAGCTGGTTCTGCTGAGTGTCCACGACGAACGCCCTGCGGCTCTGCGAGTTTCTCTTGCCACGGATCTCCTGAGGACGCACTCGCTTCACGTTCCCGGAGTTGTTCACCACTTCCAGGTCCTGCACGCCAACGCAAAACAAACAAGAATGAGCAACGTACAAAAAAAGAAAAAGAAAAAGAAAAAGAAAAAGAAAAAGAAAAAGTGAATCCCGTAACGGCATCGATTGATTATTGCAAGTGACTCAGCTAACGCTACTGGATTCATTGCAAGGCCATACTGCACTTTCCCCTAACGGCATTGGTTGATGGGTTGATCACTGCAAGTGACTCAGTTAACGCTATGGATTCATTGCTAACTTATCCTGCTTGACTCTTCTCCGTGGACATAGCTGTGGATTCATTGCTAACTTATCCTGCTTGACTTTCCTCCGTGAACATCGAGATAAAATATACATGAAAAAAACTTGTCATTGATACTACAAAAGAGTGAAAGTAAACAACAAATGCCGGCGAAACACCCACCCAAACGCACGACCGACCGATGATTCGGTTTCGCGTGAACACCAACACTGTGGCCGCGTTGCTTCTTCTCTCACCTCCCGGTTGACCCTGGTCACAACGCCGACCTCGTTCGGGCCGAGCATGACCAGGTCGTACAGCTCGTACCCTTGCAGGGAGTCAAGGCCCGTGCTAACCTCGGGCGTTTCCTGCAGCTGGGAGACGTACACCTGAAAAACAAAACAAAACAAAACAAAACACCCCGTTAAAAAAAAAAACTGATGAGGATGAATAAAGAAAAGGGAAAAACAGGCCAAATAAATTTACACCTGCACGAAAACAACATGTTAGGATGACAACAAAAAAAGGAGTAACGCATGTGGCATACAACGAACAAAAAATGGGGGCAACTGAGACAAAACAAATATCCCAAAGCGGCTCAAGCAACCGACCCGAAGCCCATAGGCGGTTGGCGAAAACAGCCCTACAACTCGACAGAAAGAACATCGCCGTCAACGCTTGGCTGAAGCAACAGCGATGGATGTAATCCGTGGCAACACCTGGTGAAAGTACAGCGACAAACAAAACCAGGGAATGCTAACGTTGCGAGAACAAAGGACGACCCCCCCAGAAGCACACATACATATCCACACACGGGGTCCTCGATCGTATAGCCTTTACAAGAACATTGTGTTTTTCTTCAACCGCACTGAGACTCACGTCTTTCGTTAGTCAGCCGGTTAGCGCGGTCGACGCAAATAAACACACACACACACACACACAACACACCTCGAGCTCCTTGGAGCTCATGTCCGTGAGCACCATGGCCCTGCTGGCACCGTCCGGGTTCTTGACAATCTTGAGGATGGTGCCGGTCTCTCCCGTGAACCTGTAGAAGGAAACAGGGTTGTACACGCGCACCGGGCGACAGCATCGAGAGTTTAGATATCAGCCACCACATGATCAAATCAGCGATTGCATGGGGACCACACGGGTGGAGAGAGAACTGACACCTTCATTTGACCCACACGGGCCGACGAAAAAAACACAACACCACTCGATTCCCAGAATCGCAGTCATTACACTACTTTTGTCTTCGGCGGGAAGGCGGAACAGATGGCCGTCCAGACCCGACGACGTCCGACAAACCCCGTCCACCAACACCGGCACAGCCGCCACCGTAAAACATGACCACCACCATCGCTTGAGCTACCACCACCAACATCAGCATCACCTACCGCAACCACCACCACCGTACCACCGCCATCACTCAACGCTTATCACCCCCCATCGCCATCACTTCAGTGCTACTGTCACCAACAACATCACTAGCACCCCGCAGCCGCACTACAACGTGGCCATCTCCCACCGTGACCTCTCACGACGACAATTGCCACCGCCTCCGCGACCGGCCACCCGCCACCACGAGCTCCTTAGGTGCTGTACCTGCCGTCGATGATGCGGACGTGACCCCCGACCTTGATGTACTTCTCCAGCTGGTCCGGCTTCAGCTCCACCACCTCGTCGGCGAGCTCCTCCACTAGAGGCTGGATGTGCACCACGGCGTCGGCTTGAGACTGCCCCGTCTGACGGCCGCAGGACACACACAAACCACGACAAACAAAAAAAACAACAACGCACAGTACAGCAGCGTGCAGCGGTAATACGTGAGGGACTTAATCGCGTGTTAAATTCAACTCAATTCGTTGCACGTAGCACGCGAATCAAGCATGCAGCAGCTGCCAGTAGAACAACCCTCAGCACCACCCCTTCGTTTGTGTTGGGGGTAGACACGCGAACTTGCAAGATCATGGCAAACTAATTGAGAGGGATAAGAGGTCAGAGCGGTGTCATTGCATGCACAAACAACTTTCATCATGTCTGTAATCCAGATGCTGTCGCGCTCTAAAAAGGAGAACAACATCTACGCGCAGCAGCAGCAGAAGCAGCAAGTCTGTGACCACAAGGAAGCTTGGCGTCCGCGCCAAAGTTTGGACCGGCAAGGATATCGAAAGGTACTGAAAAACTGAGACAAGAACGGTTTAACGAATGACAAAACACTAAAGAAATACACAGCACAGTAGTACCTGTCGGACCCTCAGCACCCTCCCCATGAGGTCTGTGAGGTCGCCTTTCGCCACCACCACAGTGTCCCCCTTGGAGAACAGTGGAGCCTGAGCACGCCACACATGCCATCCCCATTCGTGCGTTCCATCCGCAATAATCCATCCGACCATTCGCCCCCAAGGAGTCGGTCAAGTGTTTTTATTTTTTGTTCCGGCCGTCCACCCATGGCGCGCGCCAGCCGGCCAGGTCGTTGATCGATTCCATTCGTCCATTGCATCGTTCATTGCATCGTTCAAGTTTGTTCCCACCGGTCCGTCGGGTGGCGCCAGAGGCGGATCGTTGTTCGATACGGCGTGTGTGCGTGTTTCCCGTTCCCATCCCGTAGAATTTTCATCCCATTCCATTCCATCCCATCCCAACCCCGTTCCGTTTCATTCGTTCACCCCCCGGCACGTGGATGCAGGAAACACACCGACCAGGAGACGAGCGGTAGCAGCCGCAAGCAGGGCAAGAGGCGAGTAGGGCGGGGGGGGGAGGGGAAGAGACACACCCGTTATGGTCAGTCAAGTGTTTCCGAGAGCAGAGAGCGAAAAAGACGTCCGTCGCAGTTCTCAGTGTTGGCTTGCCACCCCCCCTAAAAACAATTCACCCCAAACACAACGCACATCGTGTATCATTTCTCCCGTTTACTCCAAAACTACAAAAAAATATCTCGTTTGCCTCATGGGTTTGTGAAAATACGTGCGTTGCAGAAATGAGTTGCGGCTACTCAGGATTCATAGAGACACGCGTGAGAGCCCTGATTCAGCTCTGTCGTGAGCCACACCGCGGGCTTTCCTTGTTACGTACCACGAAATACCTGGCCCATACGGGGTGGAAGTATACTGTATGTTGAGAGAGCGAGGGGAGACACTGGATAGAGTTTGGGACAACAAACTTTCACCGGCACGAACGTAGCACCTGCACAACACCAACATATCACCAGCACCAGCACCAGCACCAGCACCAGCACCAGCACCAACGACAACAACAACAACAACAACAACCAAGACGCGCTCACGTCGCTCGTGGGCTCCATGGCCTGCGCCATCGCGAGATCCTCCATGATCTCGGTCTCCTTGTCCTCAGCGTCGCGGTTGCGCTCGTCGTCGCTGTCGTCGCCATCGCTGAAACCACACCAGCGACAATAGCCCGGTTGTACAAAAACGTACGACGATCATAAATTGTAGTATAACACTGTGGTGCAGCTAAAAAAAATCCTCGAACAGTGGGCATATGTCCACGAAAGGCATCGTCACTGTACACCGTGCCAGGACGGAAGCGTGCGAGGAGAGCATGTCCTCAAAAGGGCGAGAGTTGTTTGTCAAATGCGAACGCAGTTGCTGTGTCAGACAGACACAGCAACTGCGTTCGCATTTGACAATACCGATCAAGTGCTTCCAAGCGACGGCACTAATGTGTGCCGCTTGACGTCGATCGGCTCGTGAGACTTGACTTACCCGTCACCGCATTCTCATCTTCCGCTTGCGGCACACCACCCACGCCAAACCAACTCCCCATCTTAGGCTGTGCATGTTCTTATCCTACACTTGACTTACCCGTCACCGTCTTGTCGTCTCCCGCTTGCAGCAAACCATCCCCCTAGAATCAACCTCCCATTCTTAACGCTACACATATATTCTTATCCTGAGGTGATTCCTTCTCTCCATCCTACCCCGGGTCCCTCTTCTCCCTCCTGCTCTTGAACCGCTGGATCTCCTCGAGGGTGGGATTCACCCTGTCCGCGCGCAGCCACGTGCTCACGTTCACCTAGCCATACGCAGCAGCAGCAGTAGCAGCAGCAGCCGCAGCAGCACGAATGAGCGGCACACACGCGCTCAAGAAAATATTTCGGATGCCGCGTGAGCGAGGACGGACGATGCCGTCACAGCAAGAGGAATGATGCTGGGACAAAGAGAGAGAGAGAGAGAGAGAGAGAGAGAGAGAGAGAGAGAGAGAGAGTGGGCAAAGGGGGGAAGAGAGAGAAAGAACGATGCGGGTGCAAGTGCGACGGTACGGTATCTATCAGCACCACGACACTCAGAACTTCCTCTTTGCCCCCGCCTTCCATCTTTCCTACCCCGCCCACCTTCTGCGTTGCATGTCACGTCACACCATGTTGCGATCCGCTCTGTGTTCCGGTAGACACCCCTGCGCCTTCACCTCTCACACAATTGATGCACCCACTCACTCATTCACTCACTCACTCACTCACTCACTCACTCACAGAAGTGATTTTCTCACATCATAACCCTTGCCAAGCTCACTGACAAGGACGTCGAGGAAAACAATGGTGGTGGTAATGAGAATTCAGTCACCCCCGCCCCGATTCTGAGCACGACAAAAACTAACGAACTTGATGGTTGTCACCTTGAGATTTCACTCAGTACTTCAACCACTCGCGCCCGATTCTGGAAACGCAAATCGAACAAAACTAGGTATGTGTCACATTCACTTCCAGCATTCACTCAAGATCCACTCACTCGCAGCCAATCCTGATCACAAGATCGAAATTCACTTGGTGGTTGCCACAGCATCCATTCACTCACAATCGCCATCCTGATTCTGAACCAGCTCCAAACAACCTTGATAGTCGTGTATATGTATCACGTTCAGCGCTCACACACTCACTCTCAGATACGAACTATGTAAATAGAATACACAATAAATAAAACGTGTTATCACTACCGCAAACTCACTCCTCGCACTTTTATCGCACAGGCTCCATATTTACAACTATCCATGTCGATTCATCCAGCATGGGACATAGGTTACGCAGCAGTCCAGCGAAGGTTAAAACAAACGCGAGACTTGAAAGCATGGCGTGAGAGAAAGGGAGCAGTGGTTGCACCGGCCGTGGAGGACGTGCCGCACTTACCTCTTTGACGACGAAGCCGTTGAGGAAGAAATTGTTCTGGAAGTAGTCCATGTGGTCCCCGTGCCCCTGGAAACGCCTGCGTTCCACCATGGCCTCGTCGCTCGCTTGCTTGATCTGATCATCACGCAGGGCGTCGGTTCGAAATTCGTTTCGGATGTCATTTTGGTTTGGTTTGGTGTCATCGCATTCAAACAATAGCTGTTGTTAAATGTTGTTGCTGGTCTTCGTCCTTGCTTTCTTCCACATGTAGCGATTGGTTGGAACCTCGGGTTGTAGCCGCATTCGGCCTTGATTCGTTCTTGTCGTGGCCTCGCTTCCTTCCGCTACCAACAACGACATGTCGTAGCCGTTGTCTCAGAACCCTCGCCGCGTGACAGGAACGTCAAACAGATACGCCGCCGTGGCTACCGGATGGAGAGGCGACATCAAGAACAAAAGGTTGCCAAACGGCGAAAAAAATAAAATAGAAACGGTTCGTGCGAAAGTGGCAGGACGCACGCCGTACCCCACCAAGAAGATCTTGGCAAAGAACGTTTCCCATCTGACAAGAACACGCTACTTTTTTTTTGTTGTCTTCGCTTCAAGTCAGCGCTCACAGCAGTTGCTTGTGCCGCTTACTCCAACCCGTGGTCACACAAAAGGGTCCCTCTCCCTAAGCCACCCTACCCACCCCTCCTGCGTACATTGGCCTTCGATTTCCGATGCGACATGTACAGTCATACACGCCACACTCTGGCAAAGTTAACAACAGATGAATCTTACCGACATCTTGAGCGGCAGGAGCGTCGTAGACTGCCTACAACACCTCATTACCGCCGCTAATTGATACCGCCCTTCCGTCACCTCTGCCACCGCGTCAGCAGGAGCCCTAGAGTGCAGCACTCTGTTCCCTCTGTTTACACACGAACTACTAGCGCTTTCCAGGCCAGGAGCGGGACGAAGAGAAATAATCACTTCGCGAGCTCGCTCACGCCGAGGTTCTTGGAACACGAAAATAAGCCTTTCGAACAGAGGATTATCTCCGAAATTGTAGCGGTTTTTGCAGTACCAGAAAGCATGTCGCAATCGGAAAATATCTCTCCCCAATCGTAGCCTTTGTGATGATAAGCGATTAAACAGATGCAAAAAAAAAAAACAAATCTCACCTCTTCCGGATTGAAGAATCGCTGGGGAGGGCGGATAGACTTCCTTGCGTTGCGGGTCTCGGCGTCCGCCGACAGGGAGACGAGGTCGATGCGAGGGATGAACTGCACCACGGCTCTCTCGCCCCCGGCCAAGACCTGAAAAGTGTCGCGTCGCGTAGCGTAGCGCCGGCAGGCACACACACATTATTCAGCTTGCTCAGCAGTAAATAGGGGGAAACACACAACACACAAGTAAGAGGAGCATCGTGGCTTCGTCATACACAGCATGAAAACAACACAAGAGAGGCAATCACCGCACCACCGGCGGCTTCGGGGGACATTTCCGTCTAAATAAAAAGGAACGCCTTCCCAACAACCTCCCGGTAATATGTCGCGCACCTCCACCACCTTGGCCAGGTCGTCCGTGTAGGGCTTGCGCTTCAGGCGGATAAACTGGTTCTGCCGCACGGGCTTGGCGCGAGTGGCGCTGCGCACGCTGAGCACGGCCGTCATGTCCGGGATGGGCACTTTCCGGAGCTTGCTGTGGTAAATCTGTAAAAAAAAAAAAAAAACGCCAATAAAACCGCCTTGACGCGCGGAACCCCCAGGGTTATCGCAAAGCATGATGAATTCGTCATGCTACAACCACGATCGAGGGAACTACTGTGCTGAGACACCCTGCCGTCCCTTCCCCTCCCCTCCGAGTTCTTCTTGGGTAGGGGGGGGCACATACCAGGCAAACACCTCGGACCTGCCAACGGCTACAGGCGAACACGACGCACGACACGCACACACACACGACAATGACGTGAATATTTCATCGGTCAGCCGGTTGAACGCAGTCCACGCTAAACACAACTATCCACTCATACACATTTACATACACGAAGAGAGAACTTTTGTGTTTTCAACCGGACTGATGAATGGTATATTTTCATTGTCAGCCAGGTAGCGCTATCGGTGCCAGTAAGCAAAATGAACACGTGGCTTGCGGACCCCTCGTGTCCATATTAATTGGAGCATCACCTTTCTTAGGGTAAGTTCTGTGACCACGGGAATGGACCGTGCCAAGTGCTGGTTAGATCAGTACGGACAGAGGGAGGTACTGGATAGAGAGATGGGAACGGTTATTAACGTGAATACAGCAACAACAACAACGACAACGACAACAACCACAACAACGACGACAACAACAACAACGACAACAACAACAACGACAACAACACAAAGCCATATAAACGCACGTACGCACCCCCCTCAATCCGTTGATGGCCGCCTTAACGGCCGGCTCGTTCTGCGCCTCCAGGTACAGGAAACCCTTGGTTCCCGCGGGCACGACGGCGGAGGTAACCCCGAACGGCTGGCCGTTCGCCTTGAACGCCAAGGCCTTGTTCATCACCGAGAGGCACAGCTGTACCGTGGTGTGCCAAAGCAGTTCGTTTTTTTGAAGTTTTTTTTCGGCAAGATCGGAAGGTCGACGACCCATCCATAAAACAGTTGGTTGTCAAACGGGGGTGGGGAGGGGAGGGAGGCCGTCGGATGGGAGGGGCTCAGACGGGGGTGAGGGGCTCATGAGGAGACACAGCAGCGATGATGCTCTCGTATTGGCAGCGGCGTTCTTTGCATCGTTTCGCAATTTTGCGTTGTGCTAATTTTGGGTTGCGTCAATCCCGTAGGAGAATCCAAAATTAACTAAAAATGAATAAACAAACACCGTCATTTCACTTTCGCCATACCCAATGGAGCCAAGCATGAGAGCATGCTGGGCACGGAAAGCGGGTTGTACGATATTTCTTGCGGCAACAAATCACAGAAGGTAACAAAGTCGAAAGCTTCATGCCACAGAAAGATTAGATCACGAGCAAAAACCGACAGGAGGAGGGTTGGATGCACGGGAGCGCAAAAAAAGGGAGGTACGCAGATCAACGGAGGGGCCGGTCGCAGTAACCCCGAGTAAAACCGTCATGTCACGGCGCCGATAACGGCGCCGTTGGAACCGTCTCGTCGAGAGCTTTCCAAAAATGTATCGTTTCGTTTATGCATCCTCTTCGTCGTGGAGTAATCGAGCTTTGAAAATCCGTCCAGGGGGTGTGTTATCTTGCGTCATATACGGTATGTCATCATGCATGCCCTAGGAAGCAACGTCACCCATCCCTATTTGCGCGCTAAACCGTACCATGCCAGGTATACAGCTGGGGACCGCCTTCGCCGGAAACTAAGTGCTACAAGGAAATACAACAGGGAGAGAGGGGGTACGCCGACCCTATTCCCTATCCCTAACCCTACAACCCAACTTCCCCGAATGTATGCTTTATCCAACATGTTCCCTGAACACAAAAAAAAAACTGCAAAGGCTACTGACAACTGGTAGCAGTGGGCGTGTAGCGCGGCGGCAAACCTCTGGATACAGTCTTTTCAGGGCATCGTCCACAGCCGGGACGGTATGATCTCCGGAGAAAAAAACAACAACAACGACGTATTCTTAGGTTTTCGCATGGAGAGAAACAAAGGATAGAATCGTGGCGGCACGTTGTGCACCATCATTGCGGACTGCGGGATCCCCTCACCGACGTCTCCTTTCCGGTCTTGCATTCCACGACGAATAGGCTCTTATCCGAGATGCCCGGGAGCAACGCTTGTTGCGCCACCTGCGGGCGCGCCGGCCCAGCAACGATGGCACGCGTGGGAGCAGCAGCAGCAGCAGCAGCAGCAGCAGCAGTAGCAGCACCAGCGTTCACACCGGCAAACGGATACCGTTAAGAACAAAAAAATGCAACAGCAGGATACAACGAGGACAATTAATCCCCCTGGTGCGTCAGCCGTGGAAAGTCCATCAGCAACTCTACCGCAGGAATACGAGAATAAAAAATACCAGCGCCGGCCGCAGCAGCAGGGGAAGCAACAACAGCGCGCGAGCTCTGCCACGGCACCCCGAAAAATTGTGCTCACTGAAGGCAATCATCTCGGATCGCCGAAAGCACTTCTTGCACCCAAAGGGTACGTGTGCCGCCCTCGAACAAAAAGCGCGCACACGCACACTGTACGCGTACACGACGGCCGACGCACACACATGACAACAACGTCAACAACTCTCCAAACAAACACCAAAGCGAGATGCAAAAAACGATCAACTCTCGAACCAAACACGAACCTCTGGGTCCACGACACCGACCCCATCCCCGATGTCATCATCGCTGTACCCGCCGCGCCCCCCCCCCCCCCCCCCCCCCCCCCCCCCCCCCCCCCCCCCCCCC